ATGGAAAAACAAAGTCAGGAGGTTAAATAAACCGCCTGACTTGATCAGAGGAACTACAACATCCATCCAGAGGAGAAATCTCTAACCTCGTCATGGTAATAACCGTAACGAGATCAACGGATTAAAGCCCTAACAACTAGCAATCCAGTAATAATAGAAACAGTCCTTATCCTCGCCCCCAGGTATGAATTGATAATATTTCCACAAAAGCTGAAATAACAGAGCCGAACAAACCAAGAAACATGAAAGAAAAAAACAAAACCAACGAACCAAATCCTCCAGACAAAAACCAAGGAGGGAATGCGTTCTCCCTACCCAAAAGGAAAATAGCGTATAAGAACAGGATATCCATGTAAGAACTAAAGAAGTTAGGGAGCTACACTAACAATTAACACCCAATAAACTCCCCAAGGCCGAGCAGGTGCAAGGGACCCCTCGGGCAAGGAACTAATATTCCGAAGAAAAAGAAAAAGGGGAACCATAGAGCAGGATCCCCAGCACCAGAATAATATGGGACCTAAGGAGATTTGAACCGAAGAGACAAGACAGTAAAGGACAAGGACGAGTTTACTCAGGTAAAGTTTACTTCGCCGTCTCCAGGGAACGTGCCTAGGAGATTCAACAACTCACGTGGAGATAAAAACTGAAGTAATCCCAGCCGTCCAAGATCCTAATTAATGTAAAACGGAAGATAGAGAGAAATCGTCCCAGGAGGGCAGTGGAATCTCTGAGAACAAATATATAACCAAAACACCCCTCCGGAACCTCGCTCCTAGCCCCAAGAGGAGTCATGTAAAAATTACTAGCATTCAATGATATCTGGGAGTCAAAGAATAAGCAATAGTTGAATAGATAAAGGGGGCCACTCCTCCAGAATAACCGAGGCAGAGGCCAGAACGTAATCCACTTGCACTCCCCTCCTCCTTAGATAACAATTTAAACAAAACTTTATGGACTAGCTAAATAATTTTATCTGACTTATCTATAATTCTGAGCAATGTCATAATTTCTACCTCTGGACCCAACAGCAACAACACCATAAAAAGGAAAAGAATCTCAATTCCTCCCTCAAACCGGAAATACACGCATTAAATAGGACAAGACCAGTCTAGTAAACAGCAAGTCAATCGAACCGAGACATCTTCCAGTAAGCACCCCTCTAAATGTCTAGAATAGAAATCTAATATTTAACCGCAACACCTCCACATAGTCATAACTCCAATGACAGAGCAGAGGTACAATTTAGTACAGATAAAAGTGGATAATAGAAAGAGAAATCAGATTAAAAGAAGAACTTTTTTTAAAGGACAAGGACAAACGAGAATCCAAGAAACAGACACTAGACAAATGGGAAACCTAACCGAGATTTAAGGACAACACCAGAATAATCAACTCTCTTTTAGAAGTAAATCAAGACCATCTAATCAGAAGAGACTTCCCCAGTCGAAGCCAAAAGAATGGGATTAAGAAAGTATCAAGCGTCCTCTTGATCCTACAGATCCCCAAAATAAGAGGGGTAATAATTAGATCTAACCAAAATAAAAGGGCACTCGCGATTAAGAAGGCGGCATAACTCACATACAAATGATCACTCCCCAACCGTTCTTTCCCAACGCGTATCTTTCCCCAACATCAAGGGGGCCCATAGATGCCAAACAGCTCCAGGGGGAAAGACGCAGGTGCTAATAGGAGCTTAAACATTAGGGGCTCAGAACTTCAAGTGTGAGAAGGGGTCAGTTGATGTCTGACAGCAGTAAGAAATGGCCAATGCAAACCATACATAGAAACTAAGAAACGTACCAACGACCCAGGACAAGGGCACCCTAATACAGAAATCACGGAAATGTCTTAGGCACCATTAGAAGAAGAACAACAAACTCCGAATCCAAGAAACTTTGAAACGCCCAATGGAGATGGTTATATCAATATATAAAAAGTATAAACAATAACAAAATCCTAAGGATCAATCCCAATGAAGGATTGGAGGGACCAAGACTAGTGTCTCAGCAAATGTAAAAAATCAATTCAGGATCCAGCCTCGGAAACATCATATCTAAGGCCGTAAATCTCCAACGATGAGTCCGGATCACCAAAGAAAAAAGAGGATCCCCTCAACAGCAAGAAAAATCAGGAGTAGATCGCATCAGTAGGATAAAGGAGGAAGCTCCTTGAGAAGAAGACACAAAACTCAGAGAAGCTTAGGAAGTCGTGACGACTCCATAATCTCACTAAAGTAATGAGAGGAAAGAAGTTAAAAAAACTTCTTTAACGCAATCCCAATTTCAATGAGGCTTCAAAAATATAACACGAAATATCCCCCCAACGGCAACCGAACAGGAAGGAGAACTCTATCAGCCCTACAACACATCAGTAGAAGGGGAGGGATTCGACCCATCTCAAGTTTGAAGGGAGGGACACCTAAGGTCACCTAACAAGGGACATAAGGAAGGACCAAACAGAAAGGATTGATTATAATCATTCTGAATTAAGCAAAAGAACCAAGAAAGGAAAAATGCGTCAAAAAGGGAAGAGGCAAGGATTAGGATTGAGCCAACAAATATGCAACCGAGTCCAGTCTCTCCAAGAGTTAGGAAAGTAGAAGCCGAGTTTTCCAACCAGAATATTAGCTCAGGGATAAGCATTTCCATCCCACACACACCCCCAGAGAGGTCAATGTGACATTTCGATGAAGGAACATCTCCTGAGGTCAACATTCCATTCAACAACCTACAAGTAGGAAAATACGGTGTGATATGCGTGCAGTCATTAAATCTGGCCAAGCCGAATAGAGTAGGGGCACCTCATCGAATAAGCGTAAAGTCTCAGCCAAAGCACTTCTCTCCCCAACGTCCAAAGAAGGAGAAAACGAGAGGGGAGCTTTCACTAGCTAATTATAAGACGAGTTCTTTAGAGAGAATAAGGGAGAAGGACAAGTAGAGACAGAAATTTCTCAAGCCAAATATAAGAATTTAGAAATAGTCAGAGATCAAGGAAAAGGCATTTGATATAAACTCTCGTAAAGTTCGTAACCCATTTATTGGAGTGAAACATTCCTCGACAAAGTTAATCCCTCCCATTCTTCCTCCCGAAAACAAGGTCGAAATATAATCTGACTCCCAATACCCCAGAGGAATGGACATGATCAAAATCTCCATAGAGGATCTCTAATTCCCCCAGCATATCTAAAGTGGCAGGTGAGTAATAAAGTAAGATTTCATAAGATTGGAATAATGTATCTCCCTTCCGATGTCAGAGAAGTGTCGCCTGAAAGACAAGATTTCTTCTGACCCCACCAGGGGGGAAGACAAGAAAACACACATGAAAAATCTCAAGAGGTCTGGACCGGATTCTAATAGAAGAAGAAGAGTCAGATCGCCAACTCGTTAAATCGAACCTGAGGATTAACATCAATGGAACACCACCTGGATTCTGTATGCAAATTGGAACGAACAAGGGCTCAATCGAAGTTGATAGACATCCGAACCATGTCTTTGGTAATGAATCCCGAGGCTCCTGCAAATAGAAGATGTAAACCCAGGTGACAATGGAGTTTCAGCAAAGAGGTCAAGGACGATTCGCCTAGGTGAATAAAGCCCGTTTAGCAACAGTGGAAGGATAAACCTGATAATCAGAAGAAGTGAGAGTCATTTGATGTCCAAACAAAAACATGGCCAAGTCTCCGATAAGGCAGTAGAGCAACTTACACATTTTGAAGGAGTGTCTTAGAAGATAATATGTCGGAACCCTCCAGGTCAAAATTGAGCAATATAAGCTAGAAGAATCGCAATAATACACAGAAGAACGCGAATAAAAACGCCCTAGCCTAGTTGTAAATATAGCCGTTCATTCTCTAAGAAGTTTATAGAAGAGACGAATCCATGGGACGAGAGGATACGGAGCCTAACAGTACCAACTCCCAAACTCTCCGAGACACGTGATATCATCTATCACAAGAAGAGGAGATCGAAGAATTTGCTGTGGCCTGTATATAGAGATAGTGAAATGAGGAAGTAGAGGCAAGAGATCCAGATAAGAGCAACCGAGATATTAAAAGGGTGATGTAGTAGTATCTAGAATAGGAGGTTTCTTCCTCTGTCAGATCAGGAAGCTTAGAGCCAGGGGAGACGGATTATGAGAAATAACATCAGGGAATAATTAAGTAGAAGAGTTTAGAACAAGCAACGAGAGTTCTCAGGCAACTCGAGGGAAGCCAGACAGAATATTATAAAGACGACTCTTAGCGGGGAGTCTTCAGGTGAAGATTCGGGATGGACTGGGAGGGAGTTTGAATGAAGCAAAGGCAAAACCAGTAAGAGTTCAGACGAAGCAGGAGAAATAAGGTCAATCCACAGAAGATCCCTCCAGACTCCTGAATATCAAGTGAGAAGATCGAGGTCAGTTTGAAAAGATGATTAGTTGCAGAATAAGAACGATTGGTTCATCATCTGAAGCTGGTATTTCCCTTTACAGGAAGTTACGCATAAGATACTGCTAGAGAGAGGCAGTAGATATCTCTCCCTCCAACAGGGGGAGAATTTAATGTGAGGATATCTCAAATAATTTCCTAGACCCTAGAATTGCAGAGAAGTTCACTAATGACTCGTCACTGGAACCGGTTCAGTCCAGTGACGAAGGATATGTCTTTAAGATATGGGATAAATTGGAGATCGTCCAACCTAGTGCCGTCTCAGTGATGTCTAAGTAGGGCAAATATTGAAAGGGTAAGAATAAGATAAGAATGAATTAAATAGGAGATAGTATAGAGAGAGGATAGATTCCAGAAGTCCGAGTCTTTACATGATAAGAAACTCTGTTTAACACGAGGACTTCTTGTCATTTTAGGTAAGATGGAGCTCTTGAAATTTTAAATTCCTTAACAATGGACTATATCTCCACGTAAGCAACCAAGGAGGCTTCTACTATCAATCTCCTCAGGGACTTCCGGGGACTTAGGGCACATAAATCCTTTCAAGAGCGAGCCTTCTCTTACACCTGAAGGGATGACAGGAGGCGGGTTTAACTTTCCGGCCTATCTGAAGGAAATATTGGACAGAGGGACTGGAGCAAGTAGATGCAGGGATTCGGAGGGGGCTGAATCAGGAATCTGTAGGTTGAAGATAAGGAGGGGCACGGAGCAGAATCTGGTGAAGATGGACAGGCAGCTTAAGGGGATCAAGACTATGAGCATCGGGGCTGAGAACTTATGGAAGTTTACGAGAAATTTCTGTTTAGGTCTAGAGATTTGGGGGAGAAATTTGGAAGAGACAGAGGCGGCAGTGTATTCCATGAAAGAGAAACCCTGTTTACCCACGAGGACAGGATATGGGAGAAGTGGAGTTGTAGATATGGACGCGTGTCCGATTCACATAGACAAGTTAACTTGGAGTTCCTTTCAGACGCAGAGGGACTTATGGAATACTCAAGAGAAGGATATGACGATGGCCGTCTGCATGGATGTGGTTTTTATGATAATAACAGAGTTTCAATTATATGGAAGACAGGGAGACTCTGGAATCCAGACCCACCGCGACCAACCGTGTCAAAGTCTGTATATTAAACTAAAAGAGTGGGGTGGTGAAGAGATAGCCGCACGTATCATGCGAGAGTGGTTTACTAGCAACGAGAGAGGTGGCGGAGGGACCAGGGCGTTTACGCTACAGGGCAGGGATTTTTATGAAGTCCTCTCGGAGTTTATGTGGGGTGATCATCATGGAGATAAGAACTTGAGATGTACAGCAGTGTTTGATGGTGAGAGAAATCCGAAGCAGGTCGTCTCCTATTATAAAACGGAGAATAGTGAAGACAGCGGCGGTTTTAGTTGTGAGAAGGGGGGAGGTCTCTGTAGGTTATTGCATCAATACCAGGAAAATCTGGGGAAGGATAGTACCAGAGATGCAGATCAAGTTCTGGAAGCTGTTTTTAAGGATCACGCCCACCATAATTCTCCAGGGCCCACGTCCAGTTCTGCAACCGAGGAATCTCAATTAGGCCCTGCCAAGGATCAATGGAAATCGACGGGGGGAGAATTATCAAGCGTAAAGGGAGCGTTATTCCCAGAATCCAACGGCGGAGGTGTGGGAATGGTTCCGGGGATAATAGGGGGAGTTATCTCAGGCCTCTTGGGTCTTTTGGGAGTTTTTGGTTATTATCGTATAATGTTTTCAGGACGTCGGACTGGCAGGGGTGAGTTGACACAGGGGATAGGATATGGTTTCAGAAGGGAGGGTTAGGGGTAGATTACTGCGGTGCGAGAGATTAGCATCGAGAGTGGGTCCGAAGCGGCTGTCGGGGGGGGTTCCTGTTTAGGGTCCGGTTTTAGGGTTTTGGTTTAGGATTTGGGTTTAGGATTTGGGTTTATGAAACGGGTTTAGCATTTCGGTTTAGGATTTCGGTTCAGGGTTGAGATTCACGGTTTCGGGCTTCAAGTTTCTGATTTTAGGGGTTAGGATTCAGGGTCTACATTTAGGGTTGAGCATCTAGGGTTTAGGATTGGGGGTTCAGTGTTTGGGTTTAGGATTTCAGTTTAGTGTTGATATTCAGGGTCTCGGGCTCCAGGTTTCTGATTTTAGGTGTTAGGATTCAGGGTCTACATTTAGGCTGGATGATTTAGGGTTTAGGATCGGGGGTTTAGGGTTCACGGTTCAGGGTTTAGGGTTTCAGGGTTTAGCGGTACGCTCCTTGCTTTAGCTTTGAGAGTTCAGTGTCTGACATTTCTGTTTCAGGTCTTAGGCCTTAGGGTTTAGCTTTTCATGTTCCGGGTGCAGGTTTTTGTTTCAGGTTTACGCTGTAGGGTTTCGGGTTCATGGTTCAAGTATTTAGTTCTTAACGTTTACTGTCCACGGTTCTGGTGGTAGAAGAACAATTTCTAAGCTTACACTCTACATCTGTCGGTTAGGACGTAGGGTTTATTTTGATTGGACTCTGGTGCTAATGTATAGGCTTGAAGTTTCGGTCTGTCATCATCATATTTCTTCGGTGATTCTTATGGCCCCGGGTTCTTCACATGTGGCTATCCCGTCTTATGCCTTAGACTTTGTTGGGGGCCTGTCCCTTCTGGGGTTGCTCATCCTCCCTGCTGGTTAATGTTTCTGCCTCCAATTTCTGACCTGTTGTGATTTTTTGAGAGAAGGCCTCACCCTTCACATTTTCGGTATTCGGTCAATGGGAGCTGTTAGACTTCGGTCTGCGGGATTCTGCCATGTTGTTCAGATTCTAGGACTTCTCTGGGATATCTTTTCGGTTTTCCGGATACCCTTAAATTTAAGTTGTATTCCGTCTGGCTTAGGTTTTGGGCATAGTATTTGTTCAATGGCCTTAGAGTACTGTGGTTAGGGACCTGGATTTATCCTTTAAGATTTAGGTTTTGGGGGTGTTGGATAGCAGGCAGCTTGTCGCTTTCTACTTCTGGATCTGTAGATGTCTTAGCCGTCTGAGTTAGAGTGTACTGTCCAAGGGGTATCGCTCTCGAATTAATACTTAGGTCTTACCCCTCAAGGTGCAGCCCAGAGGAGTCATTGCGTACTCTTCATGTTTTACTACTACAGGTCCTAGTACTTACGTCCCTATATTTCCACATATGGGTACTATAAAGGTGTATCCCCTACTGGGAATACGGGTAGCATGTCATGGTTCTATGCTCTTTGATTTTTGGTTTAGTATTCTTCTTTTAAGGCCAGTTGTCTGGGTTCATACTTGGAGGTTTAAGTAGTGCATTTCAGTATTCAGCCTATTCTAACTTAGCCTGTACGGACGACATGCCGCTGGCTGATTTCCTCGTCTCATGCTGAGGATTCATGTTCCTTCTCCTGCTTCATCGGTTGGGTGTAACTTGGTGGCCTTATCCCTTAGCCCTAGATTTTATATGGTATGACTTAATGTCGAGGAATTTGTTTGGTTGATTTAGATTCTGTTTCCAAGCATGGAAGTTTAGTGCTTAGTCCTGAGGTATCCTGTTTCTAAGGAAGCACCTGTATCTTATAGATTGGGGGACTCAGGGTTATTGGGCTGTGTTTCTTGCAGTTTGTATTGTTCCTCTTTATTTTTTCTGAGTTTAAGTTTAGGTCTCAGTTGGTATCCCTACCTTTAGGCCCCCGACTCTTTCTTTACTTTTGGCTGCCTCTCCATTAGTCTTTATTCCCTATTGTTAACTCCTGATGGTTCCTTCCCCCTTCTCTATCTGTTTGGTGGAGCCTATAATTTCTCTTCTCCTGCTCCCCATGCTGTCCGGTTAAAGGGTTATTATTTCGAGATTCCCTTCTCTTATTACGAGTCAATCTCTTAGGGGTCCCCCTCCAGGTTCGACGCCGGATTCGCACATTTATGGTTCCTCTTCAGGGTGCAAGACTATCCCGTTAATTTCAGAGTTCATTTTCTAGGATCTCTCTGGTCATGCTTTCGTCTTTATCTTTTTCTTTTAGGGCCCTTTCTCGTATTGTTAACTTTTTAGCTCTCATTTTTTATTCTATATCTCTTAGCCTAGAATGATTAAGTCTCCAATTTTGGATTTAGGCTCTGGAGTGTGAGCCCGGCTCCTCCCGTGTCAATTCCTGGGCTTTAACCTGTATGGGGCGTCAGGTATCTCTTAACGCTCAGTGAGGCTGAAGTAGGTTTCATGCTACATGCACTGTTGGGCACATGCAATGCTTAGACGTAGAGATTGGAAATGTATATCGAAGAAGTAGATTGTCAGTTCTTGCCCCTTTCCCTTATTATATGGTTTCTATGCCGTACTGCTTAACCTGCGCTGTTGGCTTCCTGCTTGATGCCCTATGCTGCTCCCATTATTGCTTATGCTTGTTCTCCATCTGTCACCCTTCTGTTCTGCTTAGTTTCCGATAATTTTCAGGGCTCCTATCCTATGGAGTTCTTTTAAAGAGTACCTTTCTCTCTATATTTTTTACCTGTACCCCTTGATTTTTACGCTTCAATTGTACGCAGTTAGGTTGCAGGGTGTAAGCACCTCTCTCATTTGGGTTTTACTCATGGCATTCTGCTGTCGGCTTGTGGAGGTTTGGTGTTGTCTCAACTTTTATCGTTCACTTTGTATTCTTTAATATTTAGGATTAATGCTTTATTTCTTATCCCCCCGGTTCCACTCTTGAGTGTAGTGCTCAGGCTCTATCCTCTATGTCTACACCTCCAGGTCCTCGTGTATTGCCGGGGGGGGTTTCCTTTACGCCTTAGCGTCTATTAGTACTGTTTGATAAGTTATTTTAGGCGGGTAAGATTCACTGATTATACGCCTTTTGTACTGTGATCATCCTTAGGTTTCTAGGATTTAGGGTGTAGTCTTTGGGTTGTATGTTCTGGGCCCTAGGCTCTAGATTTCATGGCTCAGCCTCCACGGTTTATCAGTGAGGTCTGTTGCTTAGCGTGTACTGGCACTCTCCAGTATTTATTCCTACGGTTAATGTTCTATATATGCCTCGTTATTTCTGCTTTTTGGTGTTGCCTTCTATCTCCTTAGTCTTAGGAGCCTTCGCCGTATCTTGACGATTTACGGTTCAGATTCCTTGGTTGGGGATTCAGTTTCACTTTGTACGACTGATCCGATGGCGTTTGGGGGTATTGTTATCTGAGGAAGTGTAGGGTTGTTCTCGCACGCTGTAGGTTTACGGTCTATACTGTTTGTGTATTGTTCACTGCTCAGGTGTATGTGCTATGGTTCATGTTGCAAGGTGGTTTGGTTTATTTGGTCGTATTATTCTTTAGGGGATCTCCCCGAATGTTTCTGCGTTAGGCATCATGTTTAGTTCCTACATGTATGAATTTGGGGCGTCATCGTGTATTGCTTCTTCTTTACTTCTTAGGGTTCGGATGGTTGTTGCATTACTTAGTTTTCAGCGTCGTGTGTTTGTGGTGTATTCTTTATTCTGCAGGCTTTATGGTTAAAGTCCCATCCTTTCTGTTTTTGGCTGTGTTATCAGCCTTTAACGTCTATTCTTTATGTTTAACCATTTAATGCTATCCGCTCCGGATTTATAGTTTGGACCTTAAGCAGCCCCTCACAAGCATGATTGCCCACTCTGCGTTTCCAGGTGGTTTGTGTTCCCCCTGGATTTACTTTATTATTTCCTTCTTTCTGAGCTAATGTTGCTGTCCTTGCTTGTGTTTAAGGCGCTTTCTCCTACTTTCTCTTCATGGTTTCTTCTTAGTTGTCTGGGAAGATAGAAGAAGAGATATATTGGTAGATTCTTTATTATTCTCCCCATAGTCAATATATCTTAAGCGTGTTAATATAAAGATACGGAACAGTCAATGTTCAGACTCTGTCTTTTTCCTTTATTGAGATATATACAGAAGGACAACAGTCTTACTGATATAGTGCCATTTCCTTGGCTTTTTCATTCTCATCCTTTTCCCATAGCATATATTTGTAAAATCGTGGAGTTATACATGCGGCGATGATACACCGAATTATAGCGCACATATTCATCTATATTAATGTTAATCCATACTGTTGTAAGATTTGTTGCCCATGAGTCGTCTTTCATATTCAAATGTTTATTCTCCTCTTCGTCTATGTCACTAGTGAATCTCTCTTAATAATATGGATATTATGGGAGTAGTAAACAACACGTTTTTCGTTTCACTACTCTTTGAAGGTTTTTATTGAAATAGGGAGACATATGTTGAATGACTTGTATTTATCACTTGATTTCCTGCTTCTACAAGGAACTTGTACATATGACTCCGGAGTACAGGCGATTATAGGAGAGTACTGCATAACTGTTGGATCGACTCTTAGAGGAGATATGCTGTCGGTTATGAATTCCACTTCTTTGTTGGAATGCTGGTGTGCTCATGGAAAAGATATGTACATGTGACGCCCATTAAATTATTCCCTGTATTTATCTGAAGATAATAAAGATGGAAGCGAAAGATATCATGCTTATTATTGCTATTCAGATACAACTTTGATATACTCAGACTATGACTGTTGGTATTGTATGTTCTATCATGCAAAACAGAGTTCATCATTTTTATATCAGCACTGTGGGATACGAAAGAAGGAATGGTGAGAAATAGTATAGACCTCTTTACTGTTGTTTTACAGACAGAGCTATGAATCCGTGTCAGAATTGGAGAAGATTAATACTGCGGTGCTAATTTATCTGTTTCTTCATCTACACAGATCTAAATATCCCTCATTTGTTGGTGGCATTCCCATAGTTCAGACGAAATTGAGAGATTTTTTACTTATACTTACAATATATGCCTATTATAATGTCATTGTGGACAATTAATCGTTTATATTGGAATTGTTAGATGACCGATCTGTATTAATGTTGTGTGCAGTCTGAATAAACATGCTTCTTCTATAAAATTATATTTATGACTATTATATATTATAGTGTATATCCGCATTGTGGAGACATTATTCGGCTGATTTTTTAGGTGTCAAATCGAAAAGCTATCAGTAATTTATTGCTACTACTTGAAACAGGAAAGCAGATAATGAGAGGCGAGATGGCTGTCAGCATGTCTATTATTAAATTGCAAGAAAATGTGTTCCCAATCTGTGATAAGAATATCTTAAATGTTCTTTATTGGTTGTCAATTTGCGATCTTCACTTTGTATATATATTTGTATGCACATAGAGGAAGGGTTCTATGAGAATTAAAAACAAAGTTAGAGGAAGAATGCAGCCCCTCTAGCGAAAGGAATGGGCGTCTTTCTTGTTCAGATAACAATATAAGAGACAGTCAGTGGGTTGAAACAATCTTCTCGTGTATTTTCGCTTTACTAAAATGGCCTCCTCACTATAATGATAGTATATGAATAGGCATAGCCCCATTTTATAAAACCTCTCCAGTACTTGTTAATTATTTTGTGTATAAACTATCATCCGTAACATTATATAAGGGCAACTGCTGCTTATGTATGAAGAATAATGGCATCCGGCTTAAATGTGATTATTAGGAATTACCAAGGATATAATAGTCCTTTATTGATATATTTTATTTTAGCGCGTTAGAATAATTATTAAGGCAAGTATCTATATTTATTTATGAGAGAAGTTTATGAATCAGTTCAATCATGCACTGTTGTACTGACATTTTATTATGCATAGGAAGAGTCTTCATTCTTTCCACTAAATATCTTCTAGAGGAGTATGACGCTTCTTATCTGAACTCAGAACTGACAAAGTTAATATGCACACTGTACGGAGTCCCTAATATTCCTTAATGTGAAGAAGGATTATCAAATGGGGAGTAATGCCGTTGGCATATGTAAACAGTAAAGTGCGAAATTCTGGTAGTGACTAATAGATAGGCTTTACTTTAAGAAGGGGATCATATTAAAGAGGATATTCATAATGTTCTATTATGATACAAGACATAAACACTGTATAGATATACATTTGATTTAGAGAGGGAATACCATAAGTATTAATGGACACCATTATGGACCTTCATGTCTGTACTTAGTAATTGTAATAATACAATTTTAAGTTGTTGTATGCGTCAGTACCACTCTTCTTATAGTTATATTGGGATCTAATCTTATGTATTGTATTATGCATAACGCAGCATGAATAACGTCTTGGGGACATATGTGAGGATTAATAAGGGAATTAGGCATTAAGGAAGACAAGATAAAAAATCTTTACTTTTTAATTTTGTGCGGGATATATGCTTAGATTGGCAAAAAATTCGACACGGATTGGGAATTTCCCTCTAGCTTATGCTATAAGGAGTCCATCTAGATATCTTCTATGTTAATTGGACCAAACGCGAAGACAGAGTACCCTGTGGACCTGTAGCTGTTCTTGTTGAGTCCTGCTATAAAAATGTCCTTTCCAAGATAGATGCAAAATGATTGCAAAGGAATACTAACACATATTTAGTCCAGTTATTTGAAGTTATACAGTATATTCTGCTTCACGGAATGCCTTGGAATCAGAATTAGTTAGAATATAGTGTTGTTTCTTTAATAGTACAAGACTCGATGTGTGTAATCTGAAAAACTCAAAAGATGCTCATAAGTATCCTTAAATAGGGTATCCCTATCCGTAGTGTTAACTGTGATTGGACCCGAACTGAAAAAAGTATAGTAAAATAGGGCAGATGAGCAAGAAGCCAATCGCTTCTTAGAGTGATCATAACATGTACATTCCGGTAGAAGTTAATAAATTTCATAAGGAGCCCTTTAAATGACAGAAGGATATCTATAAATTCCCCGTCCTTTTCCGCTTCCCGTGTTCATCTTTTTCCGATTCATTATTTTTCGTTTATTGTTGATTGTAAACAGCTTAAGGCACCTCTGGAAAGTATTCTTGCGCCGTATAACAGTAGACACATGTGCAATGATGCCCTGTTAATAGTGCATAACGAGAGGCCTGCGTGTACGGGGAAAAGGAAAGAATTGGGACAAATTAAGTATAACATATATCAAATCGTGTCATTGAACTGTATAGATAGCGTATATTATGAAATTTAATTTGGTTCAGAAAAGTGCCTCCTCATATGAAGCATATGAGTGCTTCGTTATTTATGGACGGATCTCATCAATTTCTGAAATATTATGAAGTAAGAAAAAGTACCCTCCTGGCATGGTGTCCTGAATTATGTAATTCAAACCAAATATACACTTCTGGTCTATATGATATTATATGTAGTACCACAATTAAAAATATTATGCGACATGAATTCATTTTTATGTATAATTTTAGGGGGTTATTCTAGGAAGCTGAAGCTGAAGAGGGATGAGGACGTAATTTTTATATTCCGTAAAACATGTCAACACAAGAATAAGGGGAGCCCTAGAATTAATGAACTACACGAACAAGTCATGTTGCAGAGAAAAGATGTTTCATCCATTGCAATTTTTTTAGGAATTTTCACAGAGCATCTCGTAATGAAAGATGAGAGAAGAAAGAAAAAGCAGAAACACTTTATAATGTTCCATATTCTGCTTACAGCAATGTATATGTCACGATTATTTTATCTACACCTTATACTAAAGTTCAGCGGAAGAAGAGCATCATGGGAGAAAAATGCGTGGAAATTTAGTTTCTAGTGAATTCTGAGTAGTATGCAAGACTCCCCCATTATGTTGTTCGCATCTTCTAAAGAAGTTCTTTCCTATTATTCTTCACTAATTCATTACCTAACTGAATCTCTTATTGTGGACATTCTCAAGGGCGAAATGAAGAGTCATGAGTCATATTATAGAGTCCTCCTCCTCCTCCAAAGGCGGCAGTAGCATTATCTGGTCTATCGTATAAATAGTCCTATGTAACCTATATTATATCTGAATGTCCAGCTGACAGTTTATATTATATTGATGCAGAATGCAATTAGTTGGATGGTGCTTGATCCCTATCACACCACTTGTGGTATTCTATAACGTGTAAGGTGTAGCATCGTAACGAACGTATCTTTACGGAGAATTCAATCTTAGCATAGTGAATGTGGATATAATATGTGGTCACCACAATTCTGAACAGCATAATGGGTTCAAACTAAGTGGGGATAGTGTAAAAGGAATTATGGTTGGAGAAAGTTCTGTCTGATAATATAGAACGGGTGAACCGTTCTCCTTGCGATGCCATTTATGTATGCCCGCTGATCTGTACAAATACAAAGCAGCATTTTTTATGTCTCGTTTTTTCCCTGTCCTTTCTCTTTTATACTCAGATGAGTCTCCGACGTAGTTTGCAAAAAGAAAGTGGACGGGGAAATATGAACAGGTCTAAATGTGTTTATACAGGGCATCTTTCAATAGGTGTATATGCATTCTGAACATTGAGGTAGACACTGACAAAGGGACCATTACCAATTCATTAATGGAGACATGCAAGTTGCTATTAACATCACATAATTCTATCACCAGACACGGATGACAACAAAAATGTTTCCTAAGCAATTGGACAATACGACTACGTTAAAGCTAGAACAGGAATTGCATGGTCTGATTGGGAAAGGATAATAAAACCGCCGTTTACAGGTTAAATATTGTGCTTTTTACCTAACACAACACGAACAATACTCCGTGCATCCTGAGGGGGTACATTCCTCTGGTTGTCCCTTATGAACAGAATAAATTTTGAGATCAGAATTGTGGCGACGTGCACATATTCATTTATTTTAATAAGAGGAAGGTTTTAGAGAATAAAAACCGCCAATATGCGTCGAGACATTGATATGATATGTGTTTCTTCCTGTTTTAGATAAATAATAAGTATTGATAATACTTGCTGTATGAGGGTGATGTTTATAATAAATCGTTCGAATTCTATACGCACGGCTTGGATAACCTCTCATATCAATGAAAGGATTTTTAATTATTTATAAGAATCTAAAGCAGGCGAGTCTTAATATGGCATGCATTGTTTATACGTGTATCTAATTTCAAAACATTAACACATATTTAAATATACACCAAAAATGAGCACTTCATATAATCCATTATGGATAGGACTACACACAAAAGGATAAAGAAAAAGAAAAAAGTAGAGAAAAATATGGACACATCAATTCCATGGAATCTATAGCATTAGTCTAAATTTACATATTTAAAATATATTTCCTCTTCGTATTCATGCAAAACATCGTTTCTGTCTGTTGCCCGTTTATGTAGGGTCACAATTTATGCATAAAAAAAAAGAGAGGCACCAGAAAAAAAATGCAGGACTTGGGGTGGATCACATGGAAGGAAGAATTTTGTGCCCTATATCCCATGCAGACGCGTTTTGCTGGGAACGTGGATGTGTGCCTTATTTGACACTCAAGGAACACTCTCCTATAAGTAAAACTTTATGTTTATTGAGATACATTACTTCTTTTGCGATCACTTTCGTCTGTGGCGCGAGCCTTATGAAGAACCTAAAGAATTAGTAAAGATCGAGGCCAATAATTATATGACAACAAACTTTAGTAATTTTTCCTTGACCCCTACAATGGTACATATACCAATATATACGTATATATACATATATATATGTCTGTGTGGTAATATTATGTTGATAAGTGGA